GCATTGCGCACCAATGTGATTTACGAATTCATAGAGATGTCTGAATGGGCTACACGTTGCCAGTTTTCCGTAATCGCTAAGTCAATCTTAAAAACACTTCTAGAGAAAAATGTCTTTCTTTGTCGTAATTGCATTGCACATTTTTGCCATGCAGTTGCATCGTATTCGAAACATTGAAAATAAATCATCATACGCTCTATCATACGCTTCTGCGTTAGTAAATGACATGTTTACAGTTACCATGGTAATGTGATTTGTTTTTCTCGATGAGGTAACTGGATCCGATTGATGGCACTCGAGTTTTTAACATTTTCTTCTATAACTCGAGAACGGGTGGCGATATCGGGATGCGGTTTTCACTAAAATTTAGCAAATTTTAAAGTGACTAAGAGTCTGTGACGTAAATAGTATCGTTCCATTTAACTTTTCTTCAAAAATCACAAAAATATGTAATCGATGCAGATAACGCCCTCTTGCTCATTTGCTTTAAAGCAAATGGTCTTACTGAAAATATCTTTAAAAAGAGCTCTTGCAAACAACACCGAAAATATTCAAATCGGTTGAATGGTCCAGGAGATATTAAAATGTAAACATTTGAAAACGCATTGGCCTCCCCCTCCCTTATTATGACAGATATGAGAAATATCGCAAAACAAAAGCGATGCGGTATTATCCAAGCTACTAAATGATGTTGTCAAACTTATAGCTCATGGTCTAAGTTTCTGAGATAGCGGGAATTTTATGTTTCTCTATGGCAGTTACGCCCCCTAGCGGTCGAATTACGAACTTCAAAATAATTTCCAGCTATTTTTCTTGGTCACTTTGCTTATAAGGATTTTTTCCCAAACCTCTAGGCCTTACCGTTATAGAGATACAGCCGCTCCGTACGCTTAACGGGACACCTGTATACAGGGTGAATAAAAAGTCTGGAACACCTGAAATATCTTCAAAACTAGTTTCTTTTTGAAAGAATCCTTGCAGGTGTCAAAGACTATAATAAATGTGTCGTCTTTTCTTATGTCTAAATTTTTTTAATATTTTTTTAAATGGCAACCCCAATTTTTTATTCGATAATCTGAAAGAACACACTTTTTTGAGTATCTTAGAGCAAATTTTGAATTAGGTTGCATAAGAAAAATTTTTTTTATTAATAAATGTATGATTTGGAAAAATTTCGATGGCATGACCTTATCGAAATAATCCAAGTGGCTTTGCTTTGTTCGTAGCTATGGTTACGTTGAATGATATTTTTACAAACAAATAAATAGTTGTATGTGAAGGTTGAATTATTTTGTACTTTATCGATGTTATATGTTTATTTCATTCTCTACATGTTTCGAGGATACGAGTCCTCATCTTCAGAAAGAATTCGTCAATCTTATAAATATAAATTTCACCATGCTTTATTTCTGTTATCTGTAATCGCTGATGGTTACTGATTATTTCTGTAATCCTTTGATGTATTCCTGTTGTGGTGTGTTTGTCTTGGCTATGGAGGATTGTGTAAAATAATTCAACCTTCACATACAATATTTATACGATGTTAAGAAAAGAAAACAACAATTAAAATAAATAGTTGTTTGGTAATTTTGATCATTTTACTGTTGAACATTTTACTTTTTAATGAAGTACATGACGATCGCCCAGCAATATCACGATTTACAATGAGAAAAATTCTTGCTAAATACAGAGATCATGGGCATGTGCGTGACTTGCCAAGATCTGGTCGTCCTACAAGCGATGATTCTCATCTTCATCGATTTAGTTGCTAATAATCCTCATTCGGCTTCTCGTGAAGTACAGTGTGTTAATTAACTATCGTACCCGACGTCATCGTTACAAGTATGCAACCAAATACGCAAATCGCGTATTGCGCTACCTATACTGTGATATTGGTTGCATACTTGCATTGATCACGTCGGGTACGATAATTAATTAACACACTGTAGGTTTAGAAATAAATTTGAGTCAAAGTACTGTTCTCAATGTATTACATCGACATAAATAGACTGCCTAAGTCTGACGTCACAGCGATGGGCGGAGCTTATACTGACTCCAAACAATAGACTACCTAAGTCTGACGTCACAGAGGTGGGCGGAGCTTATACTGACTCAAAACAATTTCGTTGCTAACCACAGTTGCTAAGATAAATCGCCGAAAAATGTCATTTGAAATGTCATCATTTAGTTTATTTTATTTTAACACTAATTAAAAATTGCATATGGTGATTTACCGTTAGCAACACAGTTAGCAACGAAAATGTTTGGAGTCGGTATAAGCTCCGCCCATCTCTATGACGTCAAGGCTTAGGTTGTCTACTCCATCCTTATAAAATTTCACTAACTCAAGAACTAGTAGAAGATGATTTTGATCGTCGACTGCAATTTTGTGAACAAATGCAAATTCTGTGTAACAATGACCCAATCTTTGCGAAAAATATTGTTTTTTTGGAAGAAGCTCTAGAATCTAGGTATCTCACAACCGCTAGATATTTGTAATTTTTACAACAAGAACTATGGTTTCAGCAGGACGGCGCACCACCTCATTATGACCTTCCCGTTCGAACGCATTTGGATGATATTTTTCCAAAAAATGGAAAAAGCCGGACATAATTGATAGAGTGCAAGATGAGTTTATTTTTAGGTTAGGGCACTGTCAAATAGTAAATGGAGAACAGTTTGAGCATC